ACTTAGTTTTAATTGAACTGAGTCTTCTGGGGTTTTATTACTTATTTTCGGGAGAAACTTGCAAGTTACACCTTTTGAATGATAATTAATTGAAATAGTAAATTCGAGCAGGCGATCTTCGCACGTCTATGCGCGTCAAGCTGTATCAGGAAAGTAATACGTACGTCAAGTGGGAAAGGTATCGCATAAACCGTTGGCGCCCTGAGTTAAAAATGCTTGTTGAAGAGACTTATACCTACTTGTGCTGATTATACATACTTACATATATAAGTCTGTTGTAAATTGTACTTGTGTTTGTACTATCCATGAGCACTTCGTATAGAAATATCTGGAGCTGCTCGTCGCATTTGTTTGCTCTAAGCAAATTATTAAGATAGCTAAACCTACATGCTTGGTTGACAGGGAAAATGGTGTATTCTACGGCCCCTGACCTTAATTTAGATAAATGTCAACTTTTTGTTAACACCTCTATCAATTATCGATCAGTTGCTTTGTATAATAAAGTGCTGCATTTATATACATATGTACATACATACATATAATAATAATAATAATAATATATTGGCGCTAGCACATGTACACATATGTTAGTGTATGGCCGAGCTTCCCTTCGATTTGTGGCGTGCGCCTTGATGTTGTCACACAAAGAGGAGGGACCTACAGTTTTACGCCGACTCCGAACGGCGATTTTATTTTCATGAGAAGCTGTTTTTCATGCCAGAAATACACTCGGAGGTTTGCCATTGCCTGCCGAGGGGCGGCCGCTGTTAAGAAAACCCCTTTTTTCTATGTTTTTTCCGATGTTGCTTTGACGAGGGCTTGAGCCCAGGTCCTGCGGAGTGGTAGCGCGCACTGCTAACCACTACATCACAGCGGCGTGCTATCCTAATGACCTGCGTTGCATGAGTTGATAAAATTTTTTTTTTTTAATTTACGGGCATACAATTTTGGCCGCTAGCGGGTTCTGAGTTGAACACTTTCAAGGTTGGAGTATGAGTATGAGTTCATTCGAACGACATGGCCAAACCAGCGGAGGGTTGCAAACCTATTCGAAGAGTCATACCTACCTTACTATGCATATATGTACATATATCGTCACCTGAAATCAAAAATCTGGTCACCGTATAGATATGGTCCTGCTGCGATCCGAGTGGAAAGCTTGTATTACCACTTTCAATATCTGAGTAAATAAGTCGCACGAAGTTAGTGGCTCTGCCTTAAACCTCATTTGATTTCGAACGCCTCAGGAAACTTTATCTCAATTTGAACGCAGATGAAACGTGTACTCAACGTCACTCTACGTAGCCGTATGAGTTTTCGGGATCCGAAATTTAGACATAGCGTCGTAGAGACAGCCTCTTTTCGTGCTACCAAAAGCCAATTAAAAAACGGTGAAAGCGCGATGTTCTTTCTAGTAGCTCGTTTCTGTAACAGTTCTCTACCAAGGCGAATTGAGATATGAATTCGCCGCCCTGTTCTCTACTGCTAATGAGTAGTAGAGAATGACGTATATTCTCTACCAGTAGAGAAATAATCGATAGAGAAAAGTTACAGAAACGAGCTACAGGATTAGCCGCGCTGTGTTAATCTGCTCACTGGTTGACTTGTCTGGATTAAATCTATGCTGATAAGATCCAATAAAGGAGAGATGGAAAGAAACATATCTTCGCCATATTTGGGTTGAATATCTGTTAGACTGAACATATTCTACTTATCAAGCCTATTAATTGTCATAACGAAATCTCCAAAAACTTAAGTTTTTAAATACATCTCTATATTATTAAACTTCGATATGTAGATAATTTAATGTCCCTACCTCTCTACGACAAGTTTTACAATGTTTAGCTCCTCAAAGCACCTAAAGCACATATTACCTTGATCTTGACAAACAGTAACACTTATATTCAAATATCTGTCTCTAATTGTGAATATACATATGTATCTATAGTAAACAAGTCATCTCTGTATATGGGTATAAATATGGGTACGCATGTGAGTCGCTTAATGATAAAAGCGGAAGATAAGGCAACTTTAAACAATTGTAACGTACATATGTTTACATTAACAATGCATTATCAAAGTAACATAGTAGCTTTATTGTGCTAGCTACTGTTTATAAGTTTATTGTTTCGGCGTTATGGGCTTCTCGTTTAATGAGGCAACAACAAAAAACAACATCCCAGAAATGATAGTCAACAGGTAATTCACTAATACAATTCAAATTGACTAAATGCACTCGTGATTAATTGTTGGAAATGCAAAAAAACACCCCTATTGCGAGTGTCGACTGGCAGTAGAATAGAAATTTGTCGATCGAGTCGATCATCTTTTATTTTGCTATTGTGTAACTTGATCGATAAAAATTTTTTTTTTTTAATTTAACAAAGCACTATTCTCTTCACAAGCGTACCAATTGAATATGGACAACATTGATTGTTAGATAATTTTTATTTGTTACAAAATTTTCAAACACTATGCTATACTACATGCAAGTGTACATTCATTTATAGGGGAAATAATTCTCTGTCAAGTACAGCTATAAAAGAAGCGCCCACATAGTTGTGTTGTAATTTTAAATTGTTTGCATTTACTTGCCTTGTGCAATTTAAAGAATCTATTTCACTCTTCAATTCTCTCTCGTTCGATAAAATTGCGCATGTATGTACATATAGTATAATACACTTACTGCCAGCATCGGTTATGTATGCCAGAAGAAAGCTAATCGCCATATGACACAATGCGGATAAAAGATTTTTCTTGTAGGGTAATCATGACTTGCGCATTTATTCATGAAAATCTGTGTTTTACAAGTTTGATTAAACATGAATAAAGTAGGTTTGTACATTTATACATCTTCGAAACATAAGAAGTAATGAGACAAATATAATCCATAAGCAAAATACAATTAAACGCGTACAAATGTGTGCAACAGGAGATACATTAAAATAACCACAACAATGAACTATTCAAATAAAACTGGCTGTGTTATCTGTTTAAATACTTATGTAACACATGATTTGATAAAATGTAAATATAAGTGAAACATTTAAAATTAATTAAAACAAATCGTCACTAGGCACGAAGCAAGACGTACGAGTGTTTTGATGGCGATAAACGATACGCTTGAACACAAATTTCTGAAACAAGACGCGTAAAAAAACTTCGGCGTACAAAGAGCCATAAAACTAGTTGACGGGGAAGAAAGACGCGTAAACATGGATTTATGTCTTCCCAAAGACTGTCACTTTAGCATCATTAGCCAAAAAAACTCTTTGGAGACTTTGTATACTATTAAACCCGCAAACACAGTTGACCGCGAAAGTCATGTTCTGAGATTCGTACGATTTCGGAAATAATTTCATAGATTTTTAATCAGAACTTTCAGAATTTTGTATTGAAGTGGCTGTTATAATATTGCTGATGTTTCTTTTATAGTTTTTATATAAAATAATCAATCTTTTCATCAGAACGTGCCTGTATATCTTTCTTTCTTCGCCGTCAAATATGTTAGGAGTCTTTCTT